TTCACCTCCATCACACACTCACTTTACCAGTCACCATCAAACACTACAATTGATTTTTTCCTCAAAACAAGCTTGTACATATTTTCATGACAACATACTATTTCCTCAACCTAATATTAGGTAAACCAACAACAAAAATAACTCAGTATAATCCCACAAATGAGGTTTGAGAAGAGTAGTGTGTACGCATACCTTACCCCTACCGTGGGGATAGAGAGGCTAATATTAGGTAAACCAAAAGTAAGAATGCGTCTAGTTCTAATACCATGTTATAAAGAGGTAAAAATTATTTGGACGATAGCAGTTCGTCCCTTAACTAATGTAGGATACTTTAACGATTGTAGTAAGACATCCGAATAGCGGAAAATCAGTTGAAGAGAAAATGCACTGCGAATAACATATATACACAAGCGAATAACATATATACACGAGACTGAAATCCAGTGTAATCCCACAAGTGTGGTCTGGGGTGGATAAAGCATACGCAGACCTTACCTTGTTAGTGTAGAGAGTGTTTCCGATAGACCCTCGGCTCAAGGATTAGTGATCTACTATCTATTATGAATCTTGAAACAACAAGCATTAAACAAGTACATCATCTTCTAACAATCTACATATTGCACAGATACAAGAACTACAAATCACCCACTACAAATACACACCAACCAAAAAAGAAAAAAGAAGACTAATACCTAAATAAGAAGAACAAAGACAACACAACAGTCCAGTGAGCTAAGATTCCACAAAATTTCAGCTTCACTCCACACCATTTAGTGCTGGCTGTGGCTTGACCTTCCTATCTACTATAAATCTTGAAACAAGAAGCATTAAACAAGTACACACCCTTCTAACAATCAACATTACACAGCTACAAAAACTACACGCAACTCACTACAAACACAACATCAACCAATAAAAAGAAGACTAATACTACAAAAAAAGGAGACATAACACAGTCATAAGAGTCATCACCAACAACTAAGTCCAAATGAACCAAAGATTCAACAAACTCTCAGCTTCATCCTACACCATTCTGTGCTGGCTGTGGCTTAACCTTCTAATCTACTGTGAATCTTGAAATAACAAGTACACACTCTTCCAACAATCTACATTGCACAGCTACAGAAACTACACACAAGTCACTACAAATACAACACAAACCAAGAAAAACTTAAGACATAACACAGTCATAAGAGTCATCACCATCAACAAAGTCCACAAATTTTGAGCTTCACTCAACACCATTTTGTGCTGGTTGTGGCTTAACTTTCCTAGGCCTACCTCTAGGCCTTCCAGTTTTAGAAACAGGATTAGCTAAGTTACTAGGGACAATTGTTGGTTTTAGTTTCTTGGGAGTAGGTGGTTCATTAGGATCTTTCTTTGGTCTACCTCTTGGTTTTGGAGCTGCAATTTCTGTATCTTGTTGCAATGTAGTTTTAGGCTTTGGTGGTCTTCCACGGCCACGCTTAGGAGGTACATTTGGACCAGGCTTAATATAATTGTTTTTGAGGAAAATAAGTTCACCAGTTTGTTTCATTCTATCCAAATGGTAAGTTAGCAACTTTGAGTGTGTATCATTCAAGATTCCATACTTGGACTCAATGTACTTTGATATTGATGACTTGTTTGAGCCTTCTTTTTGTTGTAGTGCATCAAGTGCTTCATAAATCATCTGATAATAAAAAACAAAACCCAAAAAAAAAAGTTTAGTTTTTTAATTATAAATACCACTCCAGATAATTGAAAGGCGCCTTGGCGTAACCGGTAAAGTTGATGCATATGATCAGGAGATCACGAGTTCAAGCCGTGAAAACCGTCTCGGCCTTTCCCCGACCCCGCATATGCCCTTTTTACTACTACAAATAATTTAGAAAAAAAAGACATGCAGATCTGTGTTTAAAAAGCATTCTTGACGAGCATGTGTTCATGTGGGAGCCATTAAAGCAGTTTTTTTCAAAAGCAGTAAAAAGCAAATCGTAAGAGCTAGACTGAAGTGGTTCCTACAATTTGAAAAACAAAAGATTTAAAGAAAAAATGTAGAAATTAAGTGAATTACTCATATTTACTGAACCAAAGTAACAATTTTGTTTAAAGAAAAAAAATTGCTTCTTACTTTTTTCTTTTTCCCAAGTTGTTAAAGATTAAATCTTTCTTCTAAAACCAAGAAAAAAACTAAAGTTTCTCCAACACATGCATGTTTATTCTAAAACTAAAGAAAGAACCCATGTGAAATAAGATAAAAAAAGATCAAAAATTGCTTAAAACCCACGGAAGACAACTGAACTACTCAGACATAACATTACAGAGTGTATATATTAAAACACAAAAAGGTTTTTTTTTCCTTCAAATTCTCCAAAGTTTAAATCTTTCTGAAATATGTGAAAAAGGGTCAAAATTTTGAGAAAAGATAGAACAGTAGAGGATGATTTGGTAACAAAAAAAACAAGAAAATGAAGGCTGGAAATGAAACGAAAAAGAAGGGGTCAAAGTGGAATTATGGAAAGTTGCTAGTTTAGTTTACCTCAGGGTATTCAAGATGTGTTTGAGTCTTGTTGACAAATTCAGTTGCCATTGAAACTTGCAGAGAGAGAGAGAAGAGAGAGAGAGTTTTAAGATGTCCCCACAAAGAGATGGAGAGAGAGGAGTGTCAGCTTCAAAAGCACAGTAAAATAATTTTGTGAATAGAGAGCTTATCCACAAAGAAATAAAAAAAATAAAGCAGGACAAAGAATATTCTTTTCAAAGGGGAAGAGTGGCTTAAGATTCAGGTATAGGACTAAAAATCCAACGGCTATAAATCTTTATTACAAGGTGTAACGAGGATAGATGACTTGGACCTTCTTTGTCTTTGTGTCATTGAATCTTGTTGGGTACTGCTGACTTTTGCCTGTCATGAGAGTTATGAATGGTACAGTAATGTATTAGGTAAAATATGTTATGGCACGTGGCCACCCAAGAAGGGGACACGTGGAACCTAAGTTGGCGAGGACCAAAGACCGGACGCAGCAATTCCTTGTGTAACTGGAAAAGATAACGTTCATAAAGGCATTGAATACTTTGTGCCCGGTAGCATGCGATAGGAATATTCGATAACGGCCCGTTATAGAGAATTTGATATTTATGTTCACCGTTACGTCTTCACCAATGCTTCTCATAATTGGCGTTAAAGAAGGGCACGATCCTAGTACGTTCTTCATAGCTATAAATAATAAGCTCAATGATCATTGTAAGGGACTCGAAGTTTCTGGCAAAACTTATACTATACTATACACAAAGCTCAATACAATATTATTAACTTGCTTTTTGATCTCATCAGTGCTGTGCCCGGACGTTTTGCTTCTGGGACGGTCATTTCTGCTATTTCATCTATATTCCAAGGCTAAGTACTTTACATTTCTGCAATTGCTTCATTATTTCGGGATCAAATTAATTCACTTGTCTAGAAATCACGTATAAATTCAACTGTACCATTTTACGGGTAAAAGTTTGGCGCCCACCGTAGGGCCTAGACAACCGTGAAATTAAATTGATCCTTGCCTTTTTTACTAACGTGTTTTGATTACTTTGTCTTAGCAAAATCACAAAAAATGGCAGATAACACTGTTAACGGCACACGCAGCCCTGAAATTCAAGGGGAACAGCCTCATTCCGCGGATTCAATTAGTGACACTCGCAATGAGGGGAACGATGGCACACAGATACATGACAGGAGGTACGCTCGACAAGTTTGGGAGACGACTCCTGATGATGCTGATGAGGAGCATGTAGCGGATGCAGTGAGGGTCCTGCAAGAGCAACATGCAATCATTCTAGGCCATAGCATGATCAGGTTATGAGTAACTGAAGCAGGCGCTATCGGGTGCTTCAAATAATGCAAACAGGCGAGATCCAGTGATGTTCCCGCGAACAAGACAACGTAGAGAGTTGATAATAACACTCATGGGGGCAAAGTTGGCTCCGACGGGGCTGGGGGAGTAGATCCGACCTCAACAACGAGAACAATTCATTCAAGAATGAATTTTTGCAGTTCATAAAGGAAGTAAATGCCTGCATGGATCAAATCCCAGACGCGCCACCAATATTGAAAGGCCAAACTCGAAGAAGTATATTCAATTATCGTACAAGCTGAGTGCGACACCAGAACTAATCCCGAAGCGGTTCAAAATGCCTGAAATCCCATAGTGTGATGGAACTTCAGACCCACATGAGCATATTACCACATATACAACTGCGGTGAAAGTCAATGATTTAGCTCCTCACGAAATTGAATCAGTGTTGCTAAAGAAATTCGGAGACACTCTTGCGAGGGGAGCTTTAACATGGTATTCGTTATTGCCCAAGCATTCCATAGATTCCTTCGAGATGCTCGCGGATTCTTTCATTAAGGCTCATGTCGGGGCCAAAAAAGTGCAATCTCGGAAGGCCCATATATTCCGGATCGCACACGGAGAATCTGAATTATTATGAGAATTTGTTACCCGATTCTAGAAGGAAAGGATATTGCTTCTGGCCATCCCGGATGAATGGGCAACTGAAGCATTCACCAAAGGATTGAACCCGAGAAGTTCGAACGCTTCCCGAAAACTGAAGGAGAGACTGCTTAAGTTCCAAGCAACAACTTGGGCAGACGTCCATAACCGTCACAAGTCGAAGATAAGGATCAAAGATGACCAGGCCAGATCCACATCATCGGCCAAAGGATGGGAGAAAAACAAAGTTAAAGTAAAGGATGACTATGACGCAGACAGACGAACAACGAGGGGCCGATTTTTACCCTACGAGCGGACAAAAGACCATGGCAGGAACTTTCGAGCAACGAATAAGTTCACCATTGACAGAGGGACTGATCATGGTCAAAATGGTAGATTGATTCAAGATAAAAAGACAACGGGGTCTCGGGATCTTTCTTACCCTAGGTTATCAGAATATAACTTCAACGTCAGTACAGTGGAATTGGTCTCAGCCATGAGAACCATTAAAGAGGCGCGATTCCCAGACCAATGAGATCCGATCCCAGCCAGAGGGATCCCATCTTATGGTGTGAATACCACGGGACAAATGGTCACCGGATAGGGGACTACCGATATCTCCAAGAAGAAGCAGCAACGTTGTTGAAAAATGGTCATCTCAGAGAATTCTTGAGTGACCGAGCTAAGAACAATTACGGTCGTAACATAGATAATATAGAGCCTTCGAAGGTAGTAGAAGAACCCCTATTCCAAACGATCAATATGATCTTCGGGGGGACGAGATTAATGGAGTCACCTTTTTGTGGCAAAGAAGACCAAAGTATCAATAACTCATAGTAAAAGACTCCGGGAAGACGATATCACTTTCACGGAGGAGAACGCTGATGGATTGTTGTTACCACACAACGACGCACTGGTAGTTTCTTTACATGTGTTAGATATTAAGATTGCACATGTTCTAGTGGATCCAGGAAGTTCGGATAATATCATACTCACCGGGAGCATTGTTCCGGCAACAAAGCTCCTCGCTGGATTCAACCTTGCGAGTGTGGCGACCCGGGGAGAGATTTTGCTACTCACGAAGCTGAAAGGGTAATGAAAAAAACTCTCTTCGAAGTAGTAGACGGCAATATGGGATACGACATCATCCTAGGAAGGCCATGGTTACACGAAATGAAAGTTGTACCTTCGACATATCACCAATTGCTGAAGTTTCCAACGCCCGAAGGAATCAAACAAATAAGAGGCGACCAACCGGCATCATGAGAGACGAGTGCAGTCTCAATTTCCAGTAGCAAAGGAAAGGAATACGGAACATAGCAATTATGGGAACCGACACCTACTCCCAAGCTAGAAGGAATTATCCCGGAAGCAGAGTCATTAGATCAATATCAGGTGCCAAGGTACTTCCAAGCTCCAGAAGAGACGGGCGCAACGAAGTCCACGACAGAAGAATTGGAGCAGGTGGCATTGTTCAAGGAATTCCTAGAGAGGAAGTTCCATTTAGGGACAGGACTGCACCCGGAGCTCAAGTTTTGTTTTATTGAATTCCTTAAAATTAATGCTGATTGTTTTGCATGGCCGCACGAGGATTTGATAGGTATCCCGACAGAAATAGTCGTGCACAAGCTGAGTTTGGATCTCAGCTGTAAGGCCCTGGAAAATTTCGCTAAGTAAATTAGGATTTCGTGGTGCCATGTAGGCTAATTATAATGTTTTATGTGCTATTAACATGATGGGAATCAATTGGATTTGGTAAATAAGTGTATAAGTCATATAATAAGTGATGTGGGGTCTAATGGGAGGCCTAAGTCTAAGTCACGTTAGAAAATTTCTTAATAGGCTAAAATTTCAATTGAGTTCGCACAAGTACCTAATTTGAACGAGCATATCTAAATATGTATAAGGTTTTATGTGATTAACAATCTATAAAATGAAAGTCTTCGAGTCTAGTTTCCAGCGCTTCAAACCGTTCGTCATTTGGACATTCCTACACAAAGTTATGATCAAATTACCAACGGCTGAAAAAATGCGATCATGTGTCAATTCTGCGATCGCAAAACCATTATGCGGTCCGCATAATTGGTCTGCGATGGCAAATCTAGTCGCAAACTGGACCAGTGTAGCCCAGTTCTGGGCATCGGATTTTGCGACGCGTCTGCGGCTAGCATACCCATTCTGCGGTCCATTATGCGACCGCAGACCCGAATTCGGAGGGTTATCTTCCTATTTTCATGACCCGACCCCATTTTAATATATAGGCTTTGGGGTTTCATTTGGGGCGATATTCTGATGATTTTAGAGAGAGTTAAGAGAATTTTAGAGAGAGAAGGAGGGAGCCTAACATTCTAACCATTCAATCTTCCATCAATCTTCAAGAATCAGGGAAACCAATCACAAGATCTTCATCTAAGAGGTAAGGTTCTATATACTAGACTTTAATTTTGAGTTTTGGGTATAAGATGGGATTATTGGGGTATGATTCTTTGTTGTAATAGTATTATGTATACATGCATTTACAAATTAGGTTTGTGGGAAGATTTTTGAACATAAATAAGTAAAGATTGGGTTGGGGAATGAAGGAAACCTTGTAAAAGAGCTTTGAAATCAAGATGCACATCTAGTATTTGATAAAATGCTAAAATGAGCTGAAACCATGAATACCTTCCTAATTTGTGTTCAATTTTGTTATGTCTCAAAGTAGATTGGGATTGCTAGAATTTCCGGAATGTCGTAGTAACTTAAGGAAAGCTTAAATAAGGTATGTATGGCTAAAAACCCCTTTTCTTAGAAATTGAGCTCCCATGGTGTCCATGTAAAATTTTAAGTCCGGAATTTGATTGACGTAGTATTTGTTATTTCAAAGGAAATAGTGTTGCAAGAATATATGTGAAAAGTGTGTCCCAATATGTTCCATATGCTATTCTTGATAAATTGGTGATATGTGAAGAACGTGGACTATATGCTAAATTGCCTAGATTTCAAGTCAAGTTTAAATCGTGATTATTATGCCAAATCATGTGAATCTCTCTCTATGCTTACAACTTGAATTGCTCTTATATGTGCCCATTATCTTAAATTGTAAGTTTGATGTTGAAAGTAAAAGTGATGTGGAATGTGAGTTGTGATATCCAATTCATGGCAACGACAATCTTCCTTCACAACGGGAATACTGGAAGGACGGATGGAAGAAGGGTACCTACTAACAGCCCATGTACGAGGGTTGGCAGAAGGGAATTTCTCCTCAAAATCCTTTGCGACATTGAGTCTTTTTGGTATGATAGAGTCTACGGTTTGAGAGACAAAGTCGTCGGTTTTGTTTTTGCCTTTTGAAGAACCAGTACATTTTGAGGAGGGAGCCATTGAAAAAGAGAAAGGGTTTTTTGTTTGAAGAAGATGAAGACACAATAGGCGAAATAAGATGAAGAAAGCTGGAATACAAGGGGGAAGCTGATATGCATAAGTAAATTTTTGGCGGCTAAATCCTTGGATAGGATTACCTCGATAACTGGAAAAAGGCATTCTAAATCATGGGAAGATGCGTGTTCGGAGTACTAAATGCGGAGAGCTTCTAATCAACCGTCATTGGCCTTCAAAAGGAATTATAGTAATTCCCGCCAAAAGAGTGTCTTCTACCAACTTCTCGATAACACAAAGTTATGTCACCGGAAAAGATAACATTCATAAAGGCATTGAATACTCTGCGCCCGGTAGCATTCAATGAGGAATATTCGACAACGGCCTGTTACAGAGAATTTGGCATTTATGTTCACCGTTACGTCTTCGCAATGCTCCTCATAATTGGCATTAAAGAAAGGCACGACCCTAGTACCTTCTTCATAGCTATAAATATTAAACTCAATGGTCATTGTAAGGGACACAAATTTTCTGGCAGAACTTATATTGTATTCTATATAAAGCTCAATACAATTTTATTAACTTGCTTTTTGATCTCATCATTGTTGTGCCCGGATGCTTTGCTTTCGGAACGGTCATTTATGCTATTTCATCTATATTCCAAGGCTAAGTATTTTACGGTTCTGCAATTGCTACATTATTTCAAGATCAAATTAATTCATTTGTCTAGAAACCACATATAAATTCTATTGTACCATTTTAAGGGTAAACAAGTAATATTCCATTTTATAGTGCAGGAGCTCAATTTTCTTTTTTGGGATCCATAGGTAAATAGCCGAGGACATGAACTTTGATATGAGGGTGCGAAGTTCGAGAATAAGATACAAGGCTAGTAGGTAATCGAGTGTATCTATTTTTTATATTTATAGTATTAATATTATTCTCGTACTTTCTTATACTTTTAGCCTGTTTGGCCAAGCTTCTCCAAGCCAAAAGCACTTTTTTTTCAAAGTTGAAGTATTTGGCCAAGCTTTTAGAGAAAAAAAGTGCTTTTGAATAGAAGCAGAAGCAGTTCTGGAGAAGCAGAAAAAGTAGTTTCTCTCTAAAAACACTTTTTTAAAAAGCACTTTTGAGAAAATACACTTAGAAGCAAGTTTTAAAAACTTGGTCAAACACTAATTGCTGCTCAGAAGTGCTTTTCAGGTATATTACCAAACACTAACTGTTTTACACTAAAAGTAATTTTAATAAAAGCACTTTTGAGAAAAAGCACTTATCAAAATATGCTAATTTTTGTAGCTTGACAAAACAGGCTATGAAATTTCTAGTTCTATCAGTTATTGCTTTTGCTTCGATTACCTTATTATCTTGTTGTTGTTAATGTTCCTTGTTACTACTTTATTGGCAGAAGCCAGGGACTGATGAACATGGATTATCCAGTATTGAGCAGCGGTCTAGCATCCATACGCCTTCTACTAATCTAGTTCATTATTAATTGTTGTATTTCCTTTTGAAAAGGATACTACTTAGTAGATCTTCCCGACTCGACTGCCATGGGCCTAAGGTAACATGTCAGCCCAATTGGAGTTAGCATAGCGATTAAACTGTATGCAACTGGGCTGAATGTTCTTAGATGATTAAATAATCGTAGGGATAGCCACTTTTTAACATGATATTTAGTTTTTATTCAGTATTTTTAATGCTGAGCAAAAATAGTCACTACTCTATTAAAATTAATACGAGAAGACGTTACTTTTCTTCATGAGTGCTGTGTAAATATTAAGGACATGGTATCCTTAACATTTAGACTGCACACATGAAGTTAAGGACGCCGTGTCCTTAACATTTTTACTGCACATATGAAGTTAAGGACATGATGTCCTAAAGTTTAACAACAAAAGGTGCAAATACATGACACTTTGTCCTTAATATTTACACAACATTAATGAAGTTAAGGAAAACATGCCCTTAATATTTACACAACACTCTTAAAGTTAAGGACATTATGTCCTTAATATTTACGCTGCACACATGAAGTTAAGGACACCATGTCCTTAACATTGAAACTGCACATATGAAGTTAAGGACATGGAGTCTTAAAGTTTAACAACAGAAGGTGCAAATACAAGTTAAGGACATTATGTCCTTAACATTTACACTGCACGCATAAAGTTAAGGATGCCATGTGCTTAATATTTACACAACACATATGAGTTTAAGGACATGATGTCCTAAAATTTAACAATGGAAGGTGCAAATACATGACACTTTGTCCTTAATATTTATACATCATTCATGAAGTTAAGGACACCATATCCTTAATATCTACACATCACCCGTGTTTAGCATAGGGGTATTTTTGTCCGGGGGGAGGGATAAAAATTTATCAAGCACTGGCTAAAAAGTAAATACATTTTAAATAATAGTTAAAGAATAAAGACATCTCTAATTAGTGGTTAACTGTTCACTCCCCCCTAAATAATCTTCGATGAGGCTAATGTAACCTTGACTACACACATCTCTTTTCTTTTTCTTTGATAAACATGCAAAACAATAGTAATTGACCAAGATTAATAAGTATAATATGCAAAGCGATCATCATCAAAATAAATAAAGATTAGAACTTTCTCAAAGATAACCTTTGCACAAAATAAAATGCAAAGATTAATTAGAAAATCCATAACTTTGATGAGGCAAATCTAACATTTAAAAGTGGGAGAATCATCTATAATTTGAAAA